CATTTTCTGAACAATTGCTGTTTAAATGTGAATGCATTCCCTCCAGCTCTGACACCTGACCCCATATAGTTAGGGACGACGACAGGGTGGTCACAGCAGCTTCTCTCAGGGAAAGGGGGTGCAGTGGCCAAATGTGTGCCAAGGCTGCATGCTCTGTGCCCTTTTCTCAGGAAGACGTTTTTAAGCCACATGACTTCCATGTGGGAATGATTTTGTCTCCTAATTAAGATCACATTTATGAATATAAAAAGAGGAAGGAAGCCAGCTTGACAAAATCAAGCCAGGCTAAGTGGAAAGTTTTTGAAGGGTATAAGATTAAGGTAGTTGGGGTCGGAAGGAAGTGGTTTTGAAGACCGTCATTCATTATTAGAGTGGTGTCTGAGACTTACTAAGGATTTGGTTCTGGAGTACTCTCCAGAAACAAGGCTTTCTTGGATTTGGTAACACCCTTGTTGTTGAAAATCAGTTGCCATGGAGTTCACTCCACTTATGCCGGAGTAGAACTGCATTCCTTGGGATTTCCAGCAGCTGATTTTTTTGGGGGGAAGTAAATGGCTAGGTCTTTCCTCTGAGGCACCTCTGGGTGGACTCAAACCTCCAGCTGGAGGATGTTAACTGTTTATACCACCCAGGGACCTCCTTATTGTTGTCGGTTAGCCAAACTTACTGTTAGGAAATGTTGCATTACTTACCTTCTAGAAGTTTGTATTGCATGGTATTTAAGCCACTGGGCTTTTCAAAGAACAGACTTTAAACCTTTAAGGAAAACTTCCCTAAACACTTAACAGAGATTGTGAAAAGGAAAGAAAGATGAAGCAAGGATAGCTTTGGATTTTCTTACCCATGCAGGCACTATTAATCAGGACCAAAACAGAGAAGGAAAGAAGAAAACAATTTCACTCATGGATTCGAAGTTCTGTCCATGCTGAAACAGATTTGTAGAGGAATATTTTATTTTAGGTTATAATGTACCAATGTATTTGAACCCTGTGGAAAAAGATATATACACTGATATTGAAGTTTTGATCTAAAAGAATGATTTGTTTAATTCAATTATCCTTCCATTTTGAGGGCCTCTTAGTAGATTAATGTTGTTGTTGTTATGTGCCACGGAGTCGGTTCCGACTCATAGTGAACCTTTACGGGATCAGAAAGCCTCATCTTTTTCCTGCGGAACAGCTGGTAGTTTCGAACTGCTGACCTTGCTGTTCGCAGCCCAATTCGTAACCACTATGCTACTAGATTAATACTATACATAAAAATAAACAACAGAATTAAGGAAAGAATATGGATAATTATGATATTTACTTATGGTTGCAAATCAGTACTGAGTATAATAGAAAAATTACATCCAGATTTGCTCAAAGTGCATTCAAGACTGACATTACTATCTTTGAATGAAATGAACATCATTTCTATTTGCCATTTCAACAGAGCTAGCATGAAATATTAAAATTAAACAAACAAAACCTACTTACCTTTACACACGCCTTAGAACAAGCAACCAAACAAGTTAAAAAGGGCAGCATTTGCCCAGGAATAAAGCTCAGATGGCAGGAAGGGATCAGAAAGCAGGATGAATGGAAACGGGAAACACTTGGAGGAAGCGGAAAGAGTGCTGCTGGTACTTTGTGGGGATTATAAACAATGTCAAGAATCAAAACACGTATGAATTGTTGAATGCCAACCCAGTGTGCTCTGTGTTTAAACTTTCATGAAAATGACCATAAAAAGTACAACCTACCTACTTTTCAAAAAAAGTATATATATATATTGGTGTTGTTAAGTGCCGTCGAGTCGGTTCCGACCCATAGCGACCCTGTACAGGGTTTCCGAGGGATATATATATATATATAGTCCTGGTGCCCCAGTGGGTTAAGTGTTGGCCTGCTAACTGAGAGGTCAGGGATTCGAGTCCATCAGCCGATCCATGGGAGAAAGATGGGATAGTCAGCTTCCCTTAAGAAAGTCTTAGAGACGCTGTGGAGCAGTTTTACTTTGTCTTACCATGGTCACTCTCAGTTGGAATTAACTCAATGGCCGTAGGTTTTGGGATATTATTCATTCTATATGCTGAACAAATAATCTCAGAAGCTGGACTATGTGAAGAAGATCACAGTATAACAAATGGAGGAAGACTCACTCACAACTTGTGATATGCAGATGCCACAACCTTGCTTGCTGAAAGCAAAGAAGACTTACTGATGGAGATCAAAGACTGTATACATCCTACAATATGGATTACACCTCAACAGGAAGAAAATAAAAATCCTCACAACTGGACCAATAAGCAGTATCACGAAGAAAAGACTGAAGTGTTCAACAAATCACATTTTTCTTGAATCCACAATGAGCATCCATGGAAGCAGCGGTCAAGAAATCAAACGATGAATTGCACTGGGCAAATCTGCTGTAAAAGACCTCTTTAAAGTGTTAAAGAGCAAAGTTGTCATTTTGAAGACTGAAGTGCTCCTGGCTCAAGCCCTGGTATTTCCAATCTCCTCATATGCATGCAAAAGCTGAACAATGAATAAGGAAGACCGAAGAAGAATTGATTTCTTTGAATTATGATGTCAAAGAATATTGAATATACCGTGGACTGTCAGAAGAAGAAACATATCTATCTTGGAAGAAATATTAACGCCAGAATGCTCCTTAGGAGCAATGAAGGTGAAGCACTTGGTCTCATGTACTTTGGACCAGTTCCTGGAGAAGGACATCAATCATGCTTGATAAAGGAGAGGGTCAGGGAAAAGAGGAAGACCCTCAACAAATGGATTGACTCAGTGGCAGCAACAATGGGTTCAAACAGTAACAATTTTGAAGTTGGTACAAGATTGGGCAGTACTTCATTCTGCCTGAACCAACCCCAATGGCATCTAAGTACAGATCAAAAATCAAATGTACACGTATGTAAAGATGCTGAAGAATATCCTGTGTATACTGTTAGTAAATATATCCAATAGATATTTATTAAATGCCCACCATGAGAGCTCAGTGGTGAAAAAGGCAGACATGGCTATGTTTTCGTGGAGCTCACAGAATTAGTCTCTGCCAAATGACATGTTCATCAAGAACAGTCAGTAATCCTGGCTGCTAAACTCTCTCCTTCAGTTCGTTTACAAATTTGTGGTTTTAATGAATGCCAACTTCCTCTTGAAATGCAGGTAGTCCCTCACTTAACTTTGAATTCAAGTTATGATGAGCTACACTTATGATCATCTGGTTTTATTTTTGTACTTTTGTCGTTAGTAACATGTACTCCGTACTATGCTAAAATTGGTCTGTAAATTTATATGTAATATTTCCAACCCCAAAGACAAATAATGATCCAATTACAAAGATACTGCTAATAAAAAGCAATAATGAAAACTTTTTTTTTTTTTAATGTGGTATTCAACTTACTGTCAAAATCTGCTGATGATGAAGTCCTTGTAAAAAGGTCTCTGTGGCTATGTCAGGGACAGCCTGTATAACATCTTTACAAAAAAGTACACAAGCCAAGTATATAGAGCAGAGAATTATCACCAAGTGAACATCATCATGAAACTGGCATCCAGGTCAAGAAACACATGACGTTACTACCCTACCCAAGGTAGCTAGCTGGGTTGATGAAGCAGTTGTGATTCATTCATTCCCTTTGCTGCAGAGAATTCCATTATACAAATATATTACAATTCACTGATTCATTCTAGTGTTAAAGTATATGTGGGGCATTTCCAGTTTGGGACTGTTACCAACATTGTCACTATTTAAAGATTCTTGTACCTGTCTCTAGGTGAACAGTTGGAATGCTGAGCTCTAATTTATGAACATAGTCATCTATACAGCATACTGCCAAGTCGTTTTCTAAAGTGATTTTACCAAATTACAGTCCCATCAGCACAGTTTGAAAGTTCCAATTACTCCCCATCCTTACCAAACTTGTTACTATCTACTTCTTCATTTTGTGTGATTTTTTTTGAAAAAATTACTAGCACCACAAAGGTTTTGTGATTAACACTGAGACATCATAAAGTTTGTAGCAAAATCCCTTGGATTTTGGCCCCTGCCTCTGTGACTAAATTTCACACTCTGCCTAACTGTCTATGGAATGAATACCACCGTTTACAGAGGAAAAACCTGACACATCCTACATTTGGGCTTAGAGCTTTTTCAAGCCAAGCGAACAGTCGTTTTTTGCAAGAAAGCCAAGTAATAAAAGAGAATCTTTGCAGGCCACGTTTTTGCATCTCAAACTTAGAAAATGATTTCTATCGAGTACTGGGAAAGAAACATCCATTTGGATACGAGGTGGCCTGTCATGTTACCAAGTGAAAGCTTGGAAATTAGAAAGTTGGAGCAACAGTTGGCCAGTAAAATACTGACATCAGACTGTATTTGAGAAGTAGCTATAGGGGCCCAGCCATCAGCTTGAAATGAGCTTGTAAACCACATTATAAACCTCGGAGAGCTGTTAGACCCTGACCCATAAGATGGAGATGTAGTAGCGGCTTAGCTTTATTATCAGCTTGCTAGGAGGAACTGTGCAAAGGAGAATAAGCGCTGGATCACTAACCACAAGGATGGTGGTTCAAACCCACCAGCTGCTCCCCAGGAGAAAGATGAGTCTTGGAAATCCTACGTAGGATCACAATGAGTCGGAATCAGCTCGATAGTGGTGGCTTTGGTTTTTGTTTTTGTTTTTTTACTAAGTTGTTGTTGCTAAGCTGTTAAGTGCCATTGATTTGCTTCTGACTCATAGTCACCCTGTGTAGGGTTTCCAAGGAGCTGTTGATGGGTTTGAATCACCAACCTTGTGTGGTTAAGTGTCCAGTGCTGATCTTACAGCACCATACCAGAACTCCATTTTTTAAAAGAGGAACTGTAAATATAACCATGCAATTCTATCACAGCTATGGAATAGGCCCCAGGTTTATTCCAGAAGAGCCCAGCTGAAGTACAGAACCGTATCGTTGGAAAAGTGCTAAGAGTTGGTTTCCCATTTTTTTCTTTTTCAGTCCAAGATTTATACTCGCACACCAACTTTATATTTGGACTTCAAACTGGACCAAGGAGCAAAGCATTCTCAGCCCATTCCCAAAGGTATGACTGGCCTCTGAGGTTTTGTGATTGTTTCATGACAAAATTAGGGTTGGGTGTGTGCTTTCTTTGGAAGGCAAGGGTTGCAGAATGTCAGGTCAGCACTATGTTTTATGGATATCTCAGGGGGATGTGCATTTAAATTAGCAAGTATAGCTGGGGCTTTTCAAATTAAAATCAGGAAGCAATTCGAATGTTCGGCTGGACCTCTTGTGAGAGGTGTGCAAACTCTTGGAGTCCCTGAGTGAAAAGGCTTAGCAATCTACTTCCCTCCAGACCTTCAAAAACGCATCTGTTGAAAGCCCTGTGGAGCACAGTTCTACTCTGACACACACACGGTTGCTAGGAGTTGAGGTCAACTAGACAGAGACCATTACTGGTGGGGTTGGACTTTCCAGGCCATATTCTTCATTTGGCAGTTGTGGATGCTAAAACTCAGCAGATTAGGTACTTGCTCAAAGCTGCGGAAAGATAACTAGAAAAGGCAGGGGTTGTACCAGCCACTATTGACACGTAGTATTCCTGAAGACAAATTCAAACTTGCATTATTTACAAACAAGTGCTTACTCCGTGTGGGATCCAGGTGTTGAGATGGAGGGCTTCCCTAAAAACTGACATTTGAATCCAAAGAATAATTAGAAAATTCCCAAGTAGTTAAGACAAATATTATTTTTAATATGATTACACCAGAAATCATTATCCTCTTTTTGATCTTTTTGCTTGGAGTATTTCTAAGTACAGAAACTGCTTTATATGTAATAAGTTAAGTATAGCCTACATTTTGATTTGAGTATACTTAACAACAACAACACTTAAAAGGGAATTTACAGTAATAGGTGTGACAGCATAAACGGGGGGGGGGGACTTCAAAAAGTTCATGGACAAATTCTATTATCTTTTAATTTCATTTTTCCATGAACTTTTTGAAAGCTCCTCTAGGCTAACTTTGTCATTGTACTAAAACAGAACCCTAAGCATCTTTTAGGGGTCCTGGTGTGGGCTGTGGGATAATGCGCTGGACCCCAAGGTCAGTTTGGACCACAAAGTCGGCAGTTCAAACTCACCAGCCGCATCTTGGAAACCCTATACAGGGTCACTAGAGCCCATGGCACTCAACAACAACAACAACAAGCACCTTTTTGCATCTTGTATTTTTTAAAGCAGTACCTGGTAGAAATCCTTTCCAGTATACTCAGGTGGCACGCTTTTTCTCTCTCTCCATCACCCTCTCTCAGTTTATTGTGATGGTGGTGATGGTGTGCCGTGGAGTCCGACTCATAGTGACCCTGTATGGGGTTTCCGAGGCTGTAAATCTTTATAGGAGCAGAAAGCCTCATCTTTCTCCCTTGGAAATCATTTGCTTTTTCATCATTCTTCACCGATAGAATACAGTGGCATTAGGTATCTTTATCATGTTGTTCAACCATCACTATTATTCATCTCTACATTTTCCTATCTCCCTTAACAGAAGCTCAGTGTCACCAAAGCAATGACTCCCCCTTTTCTCCTTCCTGCAACCCACTCCTGAGAACCACTAATAAACTGGGACCTGTATACACTTGTCTATCTCAGATAGTTCAGACACGTGGGCGTATACAGTACTTGTTCCCTGTGTGACTGACTCATTCATTCAATAGGATATTTTCAACGCTTATTGGCTATAACGTTCTTCCCTTATCCATGTGCGCTCACTTGGGTCTTCGTGCTTGGCCACTGTCAACTGGCCTTGTACACCTGTCCTTCCATCTAGGATTTGTTTTCCTGGGGTGGCCACAGCATACATATGCATGTTTAATTCTAAAAGACATTGTCTGGTAGGTAGCACTCCAAAAGTACATGCCTACAGCAGTGTGTGGGAGTACTCGTTTCTCCACAGCCCCAGCAACATTAAGTGGACGGTTCATGTTCATTTTTGCTGTGTTCTTAACTACCAACCTATAGTCCCTCAGAGTCCCTGGGTTACACTAATGGTTAAGGGCTCAGCTACTAACCAAAAGGTTGGCCATTTAAGTCCACCCAGAGGCACCTCAGAACAAAGGTCTGGCTTTCCACTTCCAAAAGACCACAGCTATGGACACCCTACAGAGCACAGTTGTGTAACACATATGGGGTTGCCATGTGAGTTAGAATCAACAACTGGGATATTGCCTCAGGAGATATATCTGGTGTTTGGAAAGAGTCACTGTACCAAAAAGAAATGGTTAATGTTCAGCCATTTCAAGAGGCAGCATATAATCAAGAGCCAGTGGTACTGAAAGAAGAAATCCAGTGTGCACTGAAGGCATTGGCAAAGAACAAGGCTCTGGGAATTGATGGAATACAAACGGAAATCTTTCAACAAACTGATTGATGGAGCACTGGAGACACTCACTCATCTATGCCAAGAAATTTGGAAGACAGCCACCGTGCCAACTGATTGAAAGAGATCTGTATTTGTGCCCCTCCCAAAGAGAACAGACGCAACGAAATGTGTAAACTATCAGACAATATCATTAATATCACATGCAAGTAAAATTTTGCTGAAGATAATTTAAAAACAGCTGCAACAGTACATTGACAGGGAACTGCCAGAGGGTCAAGCCGGATTCAGACGAGGATTTGGGATGAAGAATATCATTATTGACATCAGATGGATCTTGGCTAAAAGCAAAGAATACCAGAAAGATGTTTACTTGTGCTTTATTGACTATGCAAAGGCTTTCAACTGTGTGGATCATGACAAGCTATGGACAATATTGTGGAGAATGAGTATTCTGGAACACTCAATTGTGCTCATGAGGAACCAGTACATAGACTAAGAGGCACTAGTTCGAACAGAACAAGGAACCACTGAATGGTTTAAAATTTGGAAAGGTGTGCACCACGGTTGTGTTCTTCTACCACACGTGTTCAATCTGTATGCTGAGCAAATAATCCAAGAAGCTGCATCATATGAAGAAGAAGGATTGGAAGAAGTCTCATTAACATGCACATGACACAACCTTCCTTGCTTAAAGCTTGTTGTTGTTGTTGTTGTGTGCCGTGGAGTCGGTTCCGACTCATAGCGACCCTGTACAGGGTTTCCGAGGCTGTAAATCTTTACGGGAGTAGAAAGCCTCATCTTTCTCCCGCGGAACAGCTGATAGTCTCGAACTGCTGACCTTGCGGTTCACAGCCCGATTCGTAACCACTACGCTACCAGCTAAGAGGACTTAAAATACTTACTGATGAAGATCAATGTAAACAAAACAAAATACAATTGGAATAATTAGAACATGATAAATGGAGAAAAGATTGAAGCTGTCAAAGACTTCATTTTGCTTAGATCTATCAACACTCATGAAGGTAGCAGTCAAGAAATCAAATGGCTTACTATTGCATTGGGCAAATCTGTTGCACAAGTTCTCTGTAAAGTGTTGAAGAGCAAAGATGGAAGTTTGAGGACTAAGGTGTACCTGACCCAAACCATGGACAGTGAATAAAGAAGACCGTAAAAGAGTTGATGCATTTGAGTTATAGTGTTGGAGGAGAATATTAAAAGTGCCATGGACTGCCAAAATAACAACAACAAAAAAAATCTGTGTTGGAATAAGTACAATCAGAATCCTCCTTAGAAGCCAAGATGGCCAGACTTCGTCTTTCATACTTCGAACGTATTATTAGGAGGGACCAGTCCATCATAGTTGATAAAGTGCAGGATCAGAGTAAAAGAGAGAGACTTCCAACAAGATGGATTGGTACAGTGACAGCAACAGTGAGCTCAAGCCTAGCAATTGTGAGGATGGTACAGGACCAGACCGTGTTTCATTCGTTGTTCATAGAGTCGTTATGGGTAGGAACCAACTCGACTGCACCTAACAACAACAACAATGCTATTTTTATTGTCATTCCTAATTTTAAACCTGAAATGCATTTTTAACATTTTTGGGAGCATACACAAGAAAATAACCTAGGTATGCAGTTAGCATTTTGTTGTTTTTATTATTGTGTTAGTTGTCATCGAGTTAATACCGACTCATAGTGACCCTGTGCACAACAGAACGAAACACCACCCGGTCCCGCACCAACCTCACAATCGTTGCTACGCTTGAGCCCATTGTTGCTCCCACTATGCCCGTCCATCTCATTGGGGTCTTCCTCTTTTTCTCCCACAGTGCCTTCCAACCTGAGGGGCTCATCTTCCGACACTATATCTGACAATATTGTGGTGTTCTTCATCATGCTTCCTGCTATTGATAAGGTTTTCAGTGACTAAATATTTGAAAGTAGTCCATCTCTCCCTCTTCCTAGTCTGTCTTAATCTGGAAGCTCAGCTGAATCACAACCACACGCAAGCCCCCACAGTATGACAAACAGACAGACGAGTAGTGGTCTATCTAGGTTTAAACAAGCCTGTCATCCACCTAAGGAGCACAGTGGGTTTACACCTTGGATTGCTAACCACAAGGTTGGAGGTTCAAACCCACCAGTGGCTCCAAAGGAGAAAGATGTGAGAGTCTGTCTCCCTAAAGATGGCGAGTTTGACATTGGTTTGAATTGTGAACCTAGCTATGCAATAAAAGCACCTGTCTTTTGCAAGACATAAGTTCTAGTCACAGTGCGTTTTCTCTGCCTCTCACACACACACACACTTTATATTTACACTGCATTCAGTGACAGATCCGAAGCTGGAGACTTCTCTGTCCCAATGCCTGACAAACGATTAACCCAAGTATTACAAAACACTTGTTTACAGAGTGGCGAGTCCTGGCCGCCTGGAAAATGCTACTATGTACATTTGAATATGAACCTTCAAGTCAAGATCACCCTTTGTCTTACTGCTGCTACTTTTTCTCCATCACGTTTTCAGGTCGAATTCCATGATATATTCCAAGAACTGTCGAAATACATTTTATTTGGGAACTCCTGTAATATCAAATGGTCCTTGAAATGTGTAAGCCATTGACTGGTTCCTGGACATATTTTTTTGATAGTATTTTGATTGTGTCGTTACTCATGGCAAAGGGATTTGACATGGGATGTCT